GGAGCAGAACGCCTCATCTTTCTCCCGCGGAACAGCTGGTAGTTTCGAACTGCTGACCCGGAGGTTTGCAGCCCGATTTGTAACCACTACGCTACCAGAGCTCCTTGCTCACCCTTATAGGCGTCTGGATATTATCCTGGCACAGACAGCATTGTACCTCATGACAGATCTTGATATGTTCTTTTTGATGATAAATGTGATGCCATTCCTCTTCAATTTGTCATTCCCAGTACAGTAAATCGTGTGATTATCAGATTCAAAATGGCCAATACCTGTCCATTTCAGTTCACTAATGCCTAGAATATTGATGTTTATGCCTTTCATTTCACTTTTTACAATTTCCAGTTTTCCTAGATTCATACTTCGCATGTTCCATTCTCCAGTTATTAATGGATGTTTACAGCTGTTTCTCTTCATTTAGAGTTTTTCCCCATCATCACCAGCAGCTCCTAGGAAACTCTATATAGGGTTGTTATGGGCCAAAACCAAAAAAACTTTGGAATGTAAACAGGGGTACTATTTACATCAGTGGTTCTCAATGTAGGGAGTTGTTGTTAAGTGCTGTCATGTCGATACTGACTCATAGTGACCTTGTATAGAATTTCCTTGGAGCAGCTAGTGAGTTTGAACCGCTGACCTTGTAGTTCAAATCTATCTTGCAGTCCCATGCTTCTCCTATGCACCACACCAGGACTCCTATGCAGAGAGTAGGAGTGACTTTATTCTCCAGAAGATATTTGGCAATGTCTGGAGACATTTTTGTTGCTATGACTGTGGGCTGCTAGCCATCTATTGGATAGAAATACCCTATAATGTATTGGACACAGCTTCCCACAACAAAGAACTATCCAGCCCAAATGTCAACGGCTTACAACCATTTCTTGAAAGTTACTGAAAATGATCATTAATTTAGAAATTCTAGTCCTGGTGTGGCGCTGCAGGATAAGCACTGGGCTAACCGCTAGGTTGGCAGTTCAAAGTCACCAGCCACTCCTCGGAAACCCTATACAGGGTTGTTATGAGTTGGAACCAACTGGAAAGCACTTAACAACTACCACACCTCGAGGAAATACCTAGCTTGATAGACAGCCGCCGGAGTACTTTGTAGTTTTACTTTATTGTTTTCCTGCCCAGCTGGAGCTCTATTGGTCCTCAATAAAATTTATTTTCTCTCATCCCTAAGAAAATAGGAAATTTCGTCTTGAACACTCTGCAAATTCAACTCCGAACCAACAATGTGTACTGGGAATATCTCTTCTTGACTCCTGAACCTGGCTGGACCCCACGCAACGCTTTCAGAAGTTTCCCAGAGGGGGACTCTCCCTCCTGGCGGGATCAGTCTCCTCCTTTCCTTTTCCAGTTGTGCTTCAGCCCTTAGCAAGCAAGGCCACCAACCACCGTGCCACCAACTCAGACTCCAGCGCTCCCTGCTGGAGGCCCGCCGCCCGCGCGCCCGCCCGCGTGCTCCCGTAGACGCCGCGCTTGCGCCCCGCCGCTCCGCTCGGCTGCCGGCGATCCCTAGTTCCGAGGAGAAAACCCCGAGGGACCCCAGCTTCCCAGGAGGGCCAGGAGAGCATCGCCACCATGAGGTAAGGGCTTTCCCCCTCGCTTCTTTTCCCCAACCCTGCTTAAGCCGGTGTTTCAAACTGGCGTTCTCTTTCCATTACGTTTCCCACGCCGGCCTCCCTTTTAAAGGGCTGACCTCTGGTTCGCGGTAGCGGGGCGTGCTCTGGGAACCGGGTGCTTGGCTCCAGCACTCGGGCCTGTCTGGGAGGATGGCCGGTCCAACCACGCTGCCCAGGGCTCGCGACCTGACGGGAGTCTGCCATCCCAGGAACCTTGTTCCTTGCCTGGAGCCTGACGGCGGACTGTCGCCCGTCCCCTCCCTGCGCTCCCCGCATGACCTCCGTTTGCGCAGTTCTTCAGCTCCCGCAGAACCACCGAGATGCTGGGGAGGGTCCCTGGGGGCAGCTTCCGACTGGCGGGGTCCCCTCAGGCCTGTCGCCTTCCTCTCCATCCCGCGGTGGTGGCGCGCTGCTCAGCCACCGCCCTCGAGGTGTCACTTGTGCCTGCTTCTGCCATTTTGCCTGCTGGTTTTGAGATGCAGGCTGAGGCGTCGCTTTCTCAAAGCCGTCCTGGAGCCCTGGGGTGGCGCTGCGGTTAATGCGCTGGGCATCAAGATCAGAGGTTCAAACCCACCAGACGCTCCTGGGAAACCCTATACAGTGTGTCTATGGATCGGAAGCGACTCCACGGCACTTAACAACAAGAAGCCACGTTGGTATCATGTAGAGTGATAGTGTCCCACCCAGTTCAGTATATGGAGAGAATTTTTGCTTGGTCTCCTTTCCTCACGGATGATGGTGTCCCTGGGGGTTGTGAACCGTCCACATTTAATGATTGAAAACGAGAGATTAGGAGCTTGGGCTCCACTAGCAGATAGTCCTTTGTTCTAAACCCTAGTAACTCTGAGTATCTATTAGCTGAGTACCCCAAAGCAAAGTCTCTTCCTCCCTGTCAAAAAACAAAAGGCCTCCGTTTCTCATCTGTAGAAATGGCATGAGCTAATTGAAAGGAGCTCTGGTAGCATAGTGGTTACGAATCGGGCTGCGAACCGCAGCGTCAGCAGTTTGAAACTACCAGCTGCTCCACGGGAGAAAGATGAAGCTTTCTGCTCCCGTAAAGATTTACAGCCTCGGAAATGCTGTACAGGGTCACTATGGGTCGAAACCGACTCCACAGCACATAACAATTGTAATAACGCGTGTAGACTGCATATACTTGCCCAGTACATATTAGCTGGTGCCCCAATACATATTAGCTGGTGCTGTAGGTACTGGACTGCTAACTGCAAGGTCAGAAGTTCAAACCCACCAACCGTTCTGCAAGAGAAAGATGAGGCTTTCTGCTTTCCTAAAGATTCAGAACCCCTCACTTGGGTCGCTATGAATCAGAATCAATTCAATGGCAATGGGTTTGGTTTTCGTTTATTAAAGTAAAAAAAAAAGTTAAATGTTTCACTTCTAACATTTGTAAGAAAGGAGGGAGGTCTCAAGAATAGAATTGAGTGAACAGTGAGAATATAAAGGGAAACTAGTGTGTGTGTGTGTGTGTGTGTGTGTATATATATATAGAGAGAGAGAGAGAGAAAGAGAGAAACTTTGTCCTAGTGTGGTGAGTTTGTCCTAGTGTGGTGCCATAAGATAAGCACTCCACCTGTGTCTATATATATGTGTGTGTGTGTATGTTGTTAGGTGCCATCAAGTCGGTACCAACCCATACCAACCTTATGCACAGCAGAACAAAACACTGCCCGATCCAGGGCCAACCTCACTACTGTTGCCATGCTTGAGTCTATTGATGCTGCCACTTGGCCAATCCATCTTGTTGGGGGTCTTCTGTTTTTCTCTGACCCTCCATCTTACCAAACATGATATCCTTCTCCAGAAACTAGAAGGATATCACGTTTGCATCATATATATATATGATGGTTAAGTGGAAGAGGGGTGGGCCTTCTCAGGGACAAGGACATCAAAGGACAATGAAAGATCCTTCCTAGTAAAAGACCAAAATCACCTACAAATAAATGTTTTCTGTTCAGACACAATAACCTCTCTCAACCAGCTTCCCAGGGAATAAGTTACAAAAGTAAAGCTTCTTCTAATGGTGTCTAGTTTTGTGAAAATTCTAGCATCTGGGTAAAGCTGGGTTGGTAGAGACCTTCAGAACATAAAAATGTGTTCAGTTTACTCTATGAATGGTCAAGCAGCAAATACGCCCACATTGTTGTGGATCTGGTCAGGCTATGAAGGTAAGTCTTGTACATGCTTTTGGTGCCATTTAACACAGAAGGGAACAATTACCAAGGGATAAACCTATCAGATTTCCCTGTCAAGACTGTAGAAAACAGTCTAAAACCTATCTTCAAAATCCAAACATGGAGCCAGGTAAAGAGTATACCAAGATAAAAAGGCAAAAAGGGACTGAAACTGAAATGGGAAGGAGCTGAGAGCCATTAGCAAGAAAGGAGGGACTTGTTGGAACCCCTCAATGGAATTCAGGTGCTCTATACACTTGGCTGTGATTCTATGTTGCACATGCCAGGGATAGCATGCTAGTAAATCACTGCATTCATTCAGTCATTCGGCAAATGTTTATTAATTGAGTTTCTATTATGTTCATGGCATTCAGAGGTGAAACAAAGTCATAGCAAGGTCTCTAGTCTTATGGACCTTACCTTTTAATGGGGAAAATAGACAAATAAGTGATAACTGACTAAAAAACATCAAAATTCAGTGTTGAGGACTAAAAGAATAAAAACAAACAACCTACACTCACTGCTCATTAATTGACATGTTTAGATTCCAAAGACCAGGTTTTTCTACAAAAATGGAGGATGAATACATAAATTCATAACTGTCAAATTATATCATTACATATCTGCCAAATTACATCATTATATAACTGCTAAACCACTGAGAATCATGATCCAGCAATGTCAACATATAACTGTAACCCTAGTTACTGTTACCTCAGAATTCAGCATTCATTACTACCTGACATGTTGTTGCTGTTAAGTGCCTTCAGGTTAGTTCCAACTCATAGCAACCCTGTATAGGGTTTCCAAGGACTGATTGGTGGTCTTGAACCACCAACCTTCTGGTTAAAACTGACCTCACAGTCCAGTGCTTATCTTACAGTGCCACACCAGGACTTACATCATTAATATGCAAAATAGATTTTTCACTATCGTTGTGCGTGTAAAGCATTAGATAATGAGATGTTGTTATGTGCCGTGGCCGACTCATAGCGACCCTGTACAGGGTTTCCGAAGCTGTAAATCTTTACAGGAGCAGAAAGCGTCATCTTTCTCCAGCAGAACAGCTGGTAGTTTAGAACTGCTGACCTTGCAATTTCCAGCCTGATTCATAACCACTACACTACCAGAGCTCCTTAGATAATGAGAGTCATCAAAGATTTTTCAGCAGCGCATTCCAGGTAGAACATGAACAGCAGATGTAAAATCTGTGAACTTGGTATGTTCGAGAAAGAGAAAGGTCAGGGTATCTAAAATACAGTGAATGCTGGTGAGTGTGGTGGGAGAGAAATTTGGGGAGAGAGATTACATGAGGGCCTTTAAGGATTTGTAGGGTGTAGCAAGAGCTGGATTAATACCTGAAGGTGTTGGGAGGACTGGACATTTTAAATTAGGTGAGTGACTTTTTGTATGTTTTCATTAATTACTGATACAATATGGAGAATGGACTCCTGCTGTGGCACTTTAAGGTAAGCACTGGACTGCGAACTACAAGGTAGGCTGTTCAAACCCACCAGTTGCTCCTTGGGAGCAGCCCTCTACAGGGTCGCTATGACTTGGAACCGACTCAGTGGGACTTAACAACAACATCTAGAGAATGGTTTGTAGCGGACCAAACGTGGAAGCAGGGAGTCCATGTTTTTGCCCTAGTTCAAAGGAAATTGTTGTAGCTTAAAAAACAAACAAACAAACACAGCAAAACAGCCCCTCACTGCCATCAAGTTAATTCTGACTCATGATGACCCTATCCAGGGTTTCCTAAACTGTCAGTCTTTCTCTCGTGAAGTGGCTGGGGGGTTTGAACTGCTGAGCTTGCAATTAACAGCCCAATTCCCAACCCACAATGCCATCAGGGCTCCTTAATTGCAGTTCAGACTAGGAAAATAGCAGTGGAAATGAGGGAAAGTAGATGGACTTGAAATATATCTAGGTAGTAGAATTAACAGGGTTTAAGACTTGATGGCATTTAACAACAATTATTAGATTGTTTGAGGGGGTACAGAAAGAGGAATCAGCCTGAGTTAGAGGCAGAGACAATGACGTGGAGAATTGGAGCAGCTGGAGACTTTAGACACAAAGAGGGAGAGGGGCTGTGTGCTGATGACCAGGGGGCAGGCTTGCAGGGTATACCCTTTGGTTGGTTGATGATGCATGGAGAGGATTGTAACCATGGCAATGAAACAATATACGATAGGATGAATGTAAAACTAATGTTCTCCCATGTAAACTATCACATAATTCACAATAAAACATTAAAAAAATAGAAAGAGGACTCAGTAATTCCAGTTGTCATCAGGTAGATTTTGATTCGTGGTGAGCAAGTAAAACTTGCTCCATAGGGATTTCATAGTTGTCACCTTCTGGAAGCAGATTGCTAGTCCTATCTTCTGAGGCACCCTGGATGAGTCTGAACTAGAACAACCACTCAGCAGCTCCTAATCAAAGATTTCTCCTAAGCTATATAGTTTGAGGAATTCGGTGGCTTCATACAATAAGCATTGGACTGTGAACCACAAAGTCCTCAGATCAAGCCTGCCAGCTGATCCACAAGAGAAAGCCTCGGACACTAAGAGTTGCAAAGGACTCCGTGATGACGCTTAACAACAACAATATAGTTTGTGAACTCCTGGTGTGGTACTGTAGGATAAGAACTTGACTTGTGAACCATAAGATGAGTGGTTCGAATCCACCAGCTACTCTTCAGAAACCCTGTGCAGGATCACTAGGAATCAGAATCAGTTCTATGGCACTTAATAACTTAACAACAAACAAAGCTCATGGAACTAAGAGATGTCATCCAAGGTGCTAAGAAAGGAGGAAACGATCCAGGACTCTAGATTTCTAAACTGGTTCTGAGTTTTTGAGATGCTAATTGTAGTCCTATGAATGTGGCGCTGTGGGTTAATGGGCCAGACTACAAAGCCATTTGAACTGCAAGGTTGGCAGTTCAAGCTTACCAGCTGCTCTTCAGAAACCCTGTACAGGATAGCTATGGGTCGGAATCGACTCAATAGCACTCAACAACAATTACACTAAATGAGGATGTTGACTGAAAATTAGGTAAGTCTGGAATGGGAGAGAACAGAGACAGAAAAATATATTGGAGAATCATCAGGATATACAACAAAGTTTTTAACTAGATTGTTGAAAAATAAAATATTTTAATTCACTTTATTTTAATCACAATAATTAAATCTTTGATAACTTCTTACCCTTCCTTAGGATCACTCTTATCCCAGCTTCTTTAGTTGCTTGAGCGCATCACTAACGTTCTTAACTAAAATTCCTCTCTGCCACTTCTGTCTGAAGCACTCTGCACAGTGACCTGGTGAGAAGCAGCTACATCTCAAAACATCCCTAGCAATGAAATGTTGTGACATTAAATCGAGGGTTCATACATAAATCACTATCAGGTTTCTTAACCCAAAGCCCTTAATACCTGACCCATCTTTTCCAATGGAGGGCTACACAAACTTCCTGTATCTCAGTGTAAGCGTCTCTGAAAAATGCCTTCCCGTTTTCTTTTTAGCTCCTTTCTCTTCCTCATCCCCCACATAAATTTACATATACTAGGTATATCCTGTATGATAAAGAAAACCATTACAAAGATTCCAATTTTAATAATTTATTTTTAAAGAGACAATATAGTATTACGGAGTCCTGGTCTGGCACTGTGGGTTAATGTGCCAGGCTGCAAAGCCGTTTGAACTGCAAGATCGGCAATTCAAGCTCACCAGCTGCTCCTTGGAAACCCAACACAGGGTCACTATGGGTCAGAACCAACTAGACGGCACTTAAGTCAACAACAGTATTATGGTTAAAAGGCACAGGCTTTTGAGACAGACTGAACTAGATTTGAGTTTTTGCTCAGCCACTTTATAGCTTTGTGCCCTTGGGCATGTGATTTAAAGTCTGTCTCCCAGCCCTTCAGCATAAAACTGTAAAAAGAATAGGAGATTGTTATGAAAATTAAATGATATTTGTATATGTTGTTGTTAAGTGCCATTGAGTCAGTTCCAACTCATAGCGACCTAATATAGGGTTTCTGAGGAGCAGCTGGTGAATTTGAACTATCTACGACTCGACGGCACTTAACAACAACAACAACAACAAACCTTGTAGTTCAACCTGACCTTGCAGTCCATTGCTTATCCTGCAACACCACACCAGGACTCCAAATTTGCCTTATTCCATGGGATTGTCAAGTTTTTTAAAAGAAAAAAAATTTTAAGTTAGGGTTAAATCAATTTGGGAAAAGCAGAGTTAAAAAGCTTCTGCGTTTTCATAGAAGGATTTCTCACAGCCCCTACTGTTCATACACATTGTCATCTTCAAGAAGGAGTGTTGTTGTTGTTGTTGTTGTTGTTGTTTAGCAGGTAACATTTTCCAAACTCACTCAGTGAAATTCTTTTTTTTTTTTTTGCAAAGCCTCTTATGGGATACACTTTGGGAAATGCTTTTCTAGAACTCTATATATACAAATACAAATAGCGTTTGGCATACTATATGGTATATAGTAAATTATCATTAAATGATCGCATTACTGTTAAAAAAAAAACTTTTTCAGGACACACTTGATTCTAGATAGTATATGATAGGTAGTATAGCATTTACACTATTGAGCTAAATCTGTAGTAAGCCCAGGTCATATTCAAAAAGTTGGTTTTTTAATATATGTTTTGTTTTCCATTTAATTTAACCCTTCTCCTTGAATAAAATTGTAAAAAATTCAAGCTAAAGAAGAGCTCTAACCCATTAGGATTGGAGTCCTGGTGTGGCACTGTAGGATAAGCACTCGACCACAAAGTCAGTTTGAACTACAAGGTTGGTGGTTCAAATTCACCAGTCGCTCCTCAGAAACCCTATACAGGGTCACTATAAGTCAGAACTGACTTGACGGCTCTTAACAACAACAACAACAGCCCATTAGGTGTGAGGCTCTTTTATACGTTGTCATTGTTGTTGCTTGTATAGGATTTCCAAGGAGCGACTGGTGAGCTTGAACTGCTAACCTTGAGATTCACACCAGGACCTCCTTTTATACACTAAACCTTGTCAGTATAGTAGTCACTAAGTCACATGTGACTTAAATTAAGTAAAAATTAAAAATTCATTTCCTTAGTCACACTGTTGTTGCATGCTGTCAAGTTGGTTCCGACTCATAGTGACCTTGTATAGGACTTCCAAGAGTGCCTGGTGGGTTTAAACTGCTGACCTTGTGGTTAGCAGCCCAGCTCATAACCCACCACGCTTCCAGGACTTCACTTCTGCCCTGTTGTCCATCCTACTTGCAATTAGATTCCCTTCTCTCTCACATCAGCAGTTTTCCCTTTAGTACTGGATCATTCCCACACATTGTCAAAATTATCCAGTCATTAAAAATATGATTACAATTTTTTTGGCAATTCCCCAGTCTCCCTCCTGCTATAGCACCTTTCTCTGCCACTTTTCTAGTAAAATCTCTTGAAAGAGTGGCCTGCACTCCCCATATCTATGTCATCTCTCCTCCCCTAGCTCCCTCCCTCCACTTATGTTTTTATCCCATCCATCTTCCAGTAATTTTCTCAACCTCTGCAAAAGTGATGTGTCTCCTTCAATGTGCTTTTTAAAAATTTTTCATCTTCTCTCTTCTTTCCCTTTGTTGTTGTTGTTAAGTGCTGTAAAGTCAGTTCCAACCCATAGCGACCCTGTACAGGGTTTCTGAGGCTGTAAATCTTTACGGGAACAGAAAGCCTCATTTTCCTCTTGCGAAACAGTTTCGAACTGCTGATCTTACGGTTCGCAGCCTGATTTTGTAACTACTATGCTACCAGAGCTCCTTTTCCTTTACTACTCTCATAATACAGAAATGTAATTTTTAAATGAATTACTGTATGAAGAGCTATAGATGTATTATTCTTCATTTTCAATGCTGGCAAATGGTGGTGGTGGTTGTATGCCATTGAGGAGTCAGTTCTGACGCATAGCGACCCTATATAGGGTTTCCAATGCTGTAAATCTTTACAGGAGTAGAAAGCCTCATGGTTCTCCCTTGGAGTAGCTGATGGACTTGAACTGCTGACCTTGCAGGTAGCATCCCAACATGTAACTCACTATGCCACCAGAGCTCCTTAAAGTTAGTAAATAGAAAACATTCAGTTCTCCTGTTGGTTAATGACAGCTAAAAGGAAATAAACCACAATATACAACCCGAAGGAGGTTGGCAGAGGACAGATGGGGGTGGTGGGAGACCCAGGGAGGAATTCAGTGGCTAAAGTGAATAGAGGTAAATTCTATTAACTGTTGGTACATGGAGGGGATGGCAATTGTATAATGCAGCAAAGCATATGGTTTGTTGAATGTAAAACTGATGATCTGCTCTGTAAATCTTCCCTCAATTCACAATAAAAAGTTGAAATTTAAAAAAATGTTTAAAAGGAAATAACTCAAACCCGTTTTTCTTCAGTCGTTCCTCATGGTGACCCCATGTGTTACAAGTAGAAATGTTACAGAGGGTTTTCTTGTCTGTAGTTTTTATGGAAGCAGGGTTTTTCACTCATTGTGTCACTGGGTGGGTTCAAACCACCAAACATTAGGTTAGTAGGTGAGTGTGAACTTTTTGAGCCAGCAGAATGCCTATCACCTATCCAGAATTGATTTTGCAATAAGGAATAGGAACTTAATGAAGTATCCCTAGGACATAACTATACATTGAAGAAATTCTAGTAAAAAATTACAAGAGCCTGGTGCTTTAACTGTAAGATTAAATAAAAGATTAAATTGGAGGTTATGCAAAGAACCATGTTTAGGATTTAAAAATGATTATTTACTTTATTTTTTTCAAAAATTAAAAAGGGTTTTATCTTTGACAGTGAAATTCCTAAGAACTCCTTGAAGGCTATCCTGTTGGACTTGGAGTGTCACTTCACGTGGCATTTACTGAAAGAAGACATCGATTTGTTTGATGTGGAAGATACAATCAGGCAACAACTTGACTTTCTTACTACAAAATCCAGACTGACTCTTTATAACCTATTAGCTTATGTGAAACACCTAAAAGGCCAAAGTAAAGATGCTCTAGAGTGCTTGGAACAAGCAGAAGAAATAATCCAAAAGGAACACTCTGACAATGAGGAAGTACGAAGTCTGGTCACCTGGGGAAATTATGCCTGGGTGTATTATCACAGGAACCAACTTGAAGAAGCTCAGAAGTATATAGACAAAGTCCAGAATGTCTGCAAGAAATTGTCCAGTACTACTCACTACAAATTAGAGCATCCCGAAATAGACTGTGAGAAAGGGTGGGCACTCTTGAAATTTGGAGGCAAATATTATGAAAAGGCTAAAGGAGCTTTTGAGAAGGCTCTGGAAGCAGAACCTGACAATCCGGAATTTAACATTGGCTATGCCATCACAGTATATCGGCTGGATGATTATGACAGAGAAGGTTCCGTAAAGAGCTTTTCTCTGGGCCCACTAAGGAAGGCTGTTACCCTGAACCCAGATAACTCCTACATTAAGGTTTTTCTGGCATTGAAGCTTCAAGATGTACACGCAGAAGCTGAAGGGGAAAAGTATATTGAAGAAATCCTGGACCAAATATCAGCCCAACCTTATGTCCTTCGTTACGCAGCCAAATTCTATCGGAGAAAAAAATCCTGGGACAAAGCTCTTGAACTTTTAAAAAAGGCCTTGGAGGCAACACCATCTTCTTCATTCCTGCATCACCAGATGGGACTTTGCTACCGGGCGCAGATGATTCAGATCAAGAAGGTTAGACACAACAGACCTAAAGGAAAGGATAAATTGAAGGTTGATGAGTTGATTACATTGGCTATATTCCATTTCAAAGCAGCTATGGAACAGGACTCGATGTTTGCATTTGCCTACACAGACCTAGCCAACATGTATGCTGAGGGAGGCCAGTATAGCAACGCTGAAGACATTTTTTCAGAAAGCTCTTCGTTTGAAGAACATTACTGATGATAACAAACATCAGATCCACTACCACTATGGCCACTTTCAGGAATTTTATCTGCGGTCAGAAAGTACTGCCATGCATCACTATTTGGAAGCCTTAAAGGTTAAAGAGAGGTCATCTCTGCACTCCAAATTGACTAGTGCTGTGAAGAAATTAGCTTCCAAGAGACTTGGTTACAATGCCTTCGATGTGCAGAGTTTAAGTGCCCTGGGGTTCATTTATAAGATAGAGGGAGCAAAGAGGCAAGCTGCCGAATACTATGAGAGGGCTCAAAAGATGGATCCTGAAAATACAGAATTCCTTACTGCTCTCTGTGAGCTTCGACTTTCTATTTAAATACACTCTCTAGAAAATTAGCTCTAAGCTTCCCACTTCCCCCTTTTTGGGTTTTTATATTTTTGTTTATTGTTTCAATCCAGACCTAATATTTACTGAATGATTATTGTGTGCCAGGAATTGTGCTAAATACCTTATATACATTATGATGAACCTTTGACTTTTCTTTATTATCAAAATACTATAGTTCATTGAGAAATGACAACATTCTTATATTGTAACTTAAAAAGATGATATGACCATTAAGATTCCATGCTATAGTTATCGCTATCATCTTATGATTAAATTTTATTCAAATTTCCCACATTACTTATGCAGTAAATATAATCCTATATAAGTCTTTGACATGTAGGTCAGGAACACTCTTTTAGGAGGTTAAAATTATTAGGCAATCTCTTAACACTGTAGTTAGTTTGCAAAAGATAGAGCCTTTTACTTACAGATGTTTTTACCTTTGATCAGGACATTTAACAAGAACTTGATAAGCTAAAGAATTTTCTTTGTTGGGGAAAAAAGGTCATAATAAAAAGTTTGGTATCTCTGATGACTTCAACAAAAGCAGAAGAAACTAGAGCAAGAGAAAAAATATTCAAGTTTAAATATGTACAGAATTTCAAAGATTCACATCAGAAATATCATTTCTCAAAATGTTCATAAGTTAGCTGGAAATTGTTATGAGGAAAAAAAATGATTAATGGAAAGTAATTCATTACAAATGTCTCCAGTTCTCTTAACTAGAAGAATATACTTAGTCTTGTGTATAAAATTATAGCATTACCATAGAAAACAGACCGGTTGAGAAATTGGGGAAATGATGAACAAATAGATAAAGCAGAAGCCCCTATCCTACACCCCTAGATTACCAAGATATCAGTGTGTTCGTTTGGGGTCTGAATTAGCTAGAATTCTCATTTCTGGCTTCTGGTTAATTGTTTTTGTGACTTATGTGAAATTTTTATCTTGTCTAAAGGTTTCAGATTGGCATTTTTCCTGTAGCTGTTCCAGGAATAATTAAACCCAGCTTTCAGCTTCACCATCTGTCTTGAAGTGTCACTGCTTGACTGCTGTTATCTGAGGGGCATTTTACATTGGGATGGTATATGTGTCTTCTATAAATGTTGTTCCTTTGATTATAGATTCCACATGATTATTCACCACCACAGTATTAGTGGGACAGTTCACCATGTGATGTAATTCCCCATACCTGAAATATAACTCTTAAAATTATTGTGTATGTGATTTTCTCCTATTAATTTGTCTATTATGTTTTTGATTATTTTGAAAGTAATGAATTCCTTTTGTAAAATTTCAAACAGTACAGAAGTGTATGAATTTAGAAGTAAGCACTCCTTACCCTACCACAATCCTATACCCCCGAGGTAAACAATAACAATTTGATATGTATACTTCCAAATATTTTTTCTGTGCATATTCAAATACATATATGTATAAATATAGGAGTGTGGTGACTCTGTAGGGTAAGCACTTGACTGTGAACCACATGCCCCAAGAGGAGATGAGACTTTTTGCTCTTGCAAAGATCTACAGCCTTGGAAACCTCATGCCAGTGTCACTATGAGCCGGAACACACTCAACGGCACTTAATAACAATTACGTGAAAATCGATACACACACACATTGCAAAGTATCTCTGTAGTGTTTTACTTACGTGTTCATTTGGTTATTTTGCTCATTTCATTTGGTGACTTTAAAAGGGAGAACAGAAAAGGGAATGATTGCTAGTCAATAATTTAAAAAATTCTGAAGTCCTGATCTCTCAGTAGACCATTAGTCCCTTTTTGCAGTAAATATTTTAGTGTATTTTCTAGCAAAGTAGGTCATTTTCCCCCATTAGAAATAATTGTATAATTAAGTTTATGCTTCCATCTAGGGACTTCACATGTAATAAAGTCCAGTTATCAAAACAATATCTAAGAAATATATATATATAAAGATACAACTATAAAAGTCTGTATATTAATAATATTAGCCACCAAGGCCTATTGTTGTTAAGTGTCATTGAGTTGGTTCCAACTCATAGTGACCCTGTATAGGGTTTCTGAGGCTGTAGATCTTTGCAGGAACAGAAAGCCTCATCTTTCTCCTTGAGCAGTTGGTGGGCTTGAACCGCAGACTTTGTGGCTCACAGCCCTGTGCTTATTCTACAGAGACACTGTGCTCCCTTAAAGCCTATTAAATGACTTTAAATTTCACTATAAAAATGTTAAAATATATGTTGTAGCGTACTAAGAATATGTAGAGAGCATATGAAGACTACAGTTACTCAGTATTAAAATGCATTATCTATAATAACTTGAAATTTTGTCAGTAATTAGGCTTGCTTTCTAAAATTTAGAATTATTTAGAGATAATTTAATAGATGTGGGGGATTGAAAAAAACCTCACAGCTTTATCTTTCTCAATTCACCATTAGAACTTAAAAGCTTTAATTATCTCCCTAAACAATTTCATCTTCAGATAACCCTTTTTCTTAGAATTTGTTCCATCAATTTAACGGAAGACTTGGGCCTGTATTATGTGCATTTTAATCTGAGGCCTATCTTTAGGGACCTCAAAGATCTAATCCTTTTAGAAGTGACATCCTGTATCAGAACTTCTGATTGCAAATGGCAAAAAAAAACAACTCAAACTGGCCTAATGCAAAAAAAAAGGGGGTACGGCAGTGACAGAGGGAAGGAGACTCTAACTCGACATCAACCCAAAGCCGATTCCTATGAGTCTGAGGTCCGACATGCCTTCAGTCTTCCTTCTCTACCTATCTGACACCAGCCATCCCTCCCACAACACTCTCTTCTCAAGTGGGCTCAATAATTCATGCAATGGCCACACAGAACTTAGATACCAGATGTACAGTTACAGGATTTCCTAGGGAAGTTAACATATTACAATTCCAGAACAAAAATGCTTAGGACACTGTTCTTCCTGGCAGGACAGGCACGAAGAACCTCCCATAGGCAAGCCCCTCTCTGGCTCTTGATCCCTTGATCTGGCCTCCACTCTACTCCAACAAAGCTACAAAGCACTTCAAATAAATGCCTAAAGGGCTCTTCACTCATTGATAAGCCCCAGCCAGAAGAAACACACCTACATGTAATTCCAAGGATCAGCAAACCTAACTCCTCAATTAAATGCCTGGAGGCCCTTGGCTCTACAAGTGAGCTTCCTTCCCAGTGGCACTCAGCTCTCGTTTGCTCTGAGGACTGGGAAGCCCACTTCTCTGTCTGGAGCTCTGGCTCTTGGTTCTGCGGCAGCTGCTTCTCTGCTACTCCTGTGGTATCAGCTTTTTGTCCCTGGGCCAAGAAGACTTGCACAGGGGTTGAGATCCAAAGGATACGTGCCATTCCTGGCCTTTTAGAGAGGGTAGCAAGATCCCCCATTCTGCTTCTGAGATGGCTCATTTTAAACCCAGGAGGATAGCAAAACTGGCCAATCTCGTCGTTCGATTTCCAAGATTTTACAATCACAATTAACTCCGTTAATAAGCGTTCACAACTGAATCATATCACCTTAGCACCTCCTTTTACCCAGACCCATGGGGAAAAAAAGTTTGTTGGGAGTTATAAAGACTATGGGTAGAAGAACCATATGAAGTAGGTTGCTGCATTGCACCTAAGAAAAATGGGAATGTAATAACATAATTTAATAGATCAGCATCGTGCTAATTTTCAATGAATTCAAAAGGATGTGTATCCAAACACATCAGGAGCTATAACTAGAATCCAGTCATGGGAGTAGGCAAAAACCAAAGGTCTAATACACACGCCTTAAAGTATTTCAAAATAGTTGTCCTATATCCTCTGAGACTTATTTTAAGTTAAATATTCCATTATCTTTCACCATGTCCACATAAGATAGATGCAAGTTTCCTTCTCATGATGGTCAGTCAATTTGAAATTTCTCCAGATTGTCTCTATCATTTGCTAATGGTTGTGCTCAGGGTTTAACTCAATATACAAGGTAAGGTTATAGGAAAATGATCCTTTGTGTGCATTATACTTTTGCTAATCTAGCTACACTCAAAAGATCCATTTGGTCCCTACTCTTGTGTAGATTTTTCCACATGTGCTATTATAAGGCACTTCCTTCACAATTCATACCTGAGCTTTTGAAACAAATTTGTCACTCAGTTGCTTAATTCAATTCAAATGACCAGAAGGTTTTTAACAAGTTGTTTAGGAAAAGTTTGTGTAAATAAAATGCTATTCATTGCAAGAGACAACTGATAACAGAAAACTCCACTTAAACAGACTGTAAAACAGTTAACAAAAGAAATAAATCTTGTCATTGAAGCATTGTGACCCAGAAGCAGTAGCTTTAGCCACTTCCCAGTTATAATTTATTGAATTTTGGCTACTTTTTCAGAAAGCTCTTACTTCTGTGGTCCGATGATGGCTGTCACATACTTTTTCACTGCTATCCATAACTACTCTACCAACCATCTAAGAAAAGTTCACGTCTGCAGTGTGATAGGACCATCTTAGGTCACGTGGTGGTGGCCGTGGTGTGCTGAAGAATCAGTTCTGACTCATAATGATCCTTACGTGGTTTCCAAGACTCTCATTCTTTACAGGAGCAGAAAGCCTCATCTTTCTCCCTCAGAGCAGCTGGTGGATTTCAACTACTGACCTTGCAATTAGCAGCCCCGTGCTTATCCTATATAGCACCATGGAGGGCTACTGCTGGAAACTAGTGGTATATGTGACGCATAATGTTTTATGTTTTCAAATAACAGAGAAACTTCTCCCCTATATTATTTCGTTTCAGCATTTTCAAAAATTTGACTAGGTATGTTTGAGATTCTGTGTCTCACATTTTACATTCAATTTTGCTAAGAGCAGTTCCTAGGCAAGCCAACCCAGACCCCCATTCACATTAACTTTGATACACCACATAGAGAAGTGACTTGTTCATTTCTGACTCACGAAGCCCTTGTGTGCAGAGTAGAACTTCGCTTCATAGGGTTTCAGTTCAAGCTGTGACCAAGCAAATCGTCAAGTCTTACTTCTGAGCCATCTCTAGGTGGATTTGAACTGCCAACTTTTTGGTTAGTAGTTGAATATTTAACCATTCATGCCGTGGAAACCTTGTACAGGGTCAGTATGAGTTGGAGCCGACTTGACAGCACGTAACAA